GTTCAGCCAGCTGTTGACCAACACCCTCAAGTTTTTCTCCACCAGGCAGCTTTCCAGCCACTCTTCCCCAAGCCTGTAGCATTGCATGGGGTTGTTGTGACTCAAGCGCAGGACTCGGCACTTGGCCTTTCATACAATTGGCCTCAGCCATCAATCCAGCCTGTCCGGATCCCTCTGTAGAACCTTCCATCCATCCATTCTGCACAGAGGAGGCAGTCAAAGCAAGTAGTCTCCTATCCAGTTAGGGTCAGTTGGTGAGTTTGGGCAAAGAGAAGAGCAAAAGCTGTGGTGCCAAAAGTTTATGTGTACTTTCTACCACAAGATGACGGACTATACTACTATAAAATCCTAATTGAGGCAAACCGCTACAGCTTTATCACAAAAGCTGCTGCATTAGATCAAAGGGGATTGAGAAATGACAGGAAAGATCTCATCTGGTTACCTTATAGATCAATGCTTTCTCTCCAGCATTTTGTAGTACACCTAGTACACCAACCAAAGAGCCCCAACCAAGCAATGCATTCTTCTGCAGTAAAGATACGCAGCAGAGGACTTCCTTGACTTATTCAAAACATGATTCAATAATGAACATCACTGAGAATGAGTAAATAATTACAGAGTGAAGCCCAGGAAATTCCTTGTAAGAAAAATTTTGTATCTAAATCACTGCCCTATCAGTGTATGCAGAACAACGCACAATTGAAAGACAAAAGCAAGCTCTCCAAAAAGCTTAAAGAAAAAAAGAAAGAAAAAAAGAACGGAACACCAGAAATGGATAAAAGCGTGAGGAAAAAAGTTGAAGGAGAAATATACTTAAAATTGACAACACTCTTGACAAAATGTTTTTCAGAAACTAGAAGAGGGAGTAAACATTGCACTCTACCATGAGTTTTAAGCTTGTCAGTCATTTTGTTAATCTTTCTTTCCAGACGGGCATATCTAGCAAACTCATCCATCATACTAATGGTTGAGAGTTCTTGCTTCATGTTTTGAATTTCAGCTCTCATTTGGGATTCCTGCTCTGCATCCTTTTGTAACAATCTGGATATCTAAGAAGAAAAGAAATAGTATCAGTTATTTATCCAGAATTCCATTGATTTTCTTTAATATGTATAAAGTATGATTTCCTGTTTACATACTCTATAAAGCCTCCCATAAAAAAAGCCCTTTCATCAAGACACAGGAAAACCTTGGCTTAACATCAGCAACGTGTTCTAAAAGCCAAAGAATTTTTACTCTCTTGTTCTGGCTGAAGTGAACCAAACAGGGTTTTACTGTCCCTGTAGGGCGGTGATTTTCAGCTTTTCTAACTATGGCTAACTGCCTTTTCCTTCTCTATTTCTGCTTTCATCTCCTCATCTCCCCACTCTCAATACTGCTGCCTTCTGAAACCTCCCAAACCTCCCAGGCCCTGCCTAACACTGCATCCTGAGCTGAACTTCTGTCCTCCCTCCTTGCAATTCTCATCACGCGCTGCTTGGATGAAAAGCACCTGATGCGTGCAGGAGAGGAAGGACTGGGGAAGCACTCCTTTTCATCACTATTCTTTCTGGCTCCAGCAATGCCCCTTACTCATTTTTAACTTCCATCTCCAGCTCCAGCAGCCTCAACAATGGGCTGAACTAATTAATGTGGAAACTTTATTCACTGAAGCCCAATTTTAGACTTCACCAATAAAGCATGGCTCACCAACCGGGAATCGTTCCTCTAGATTACAGATTGCCTAGCGTGTTTCTGACAGCCCGCATTAATTGCCATACTGGCTGAGAGTTGTGACCCATCTAACGCAGTATCTTACCACTGCCTCAGAAACACATTTGCATTAGTTATTTTTCTTACATCTTACCCATGCATTTAAATGCGTTTTTCTTACAACATCTTATTGGCTAAAATGATTTCATGCTGACAGAAATGTAAAAAGGTAATCACATGTTGCGTTAGCAAACATTTTCTCGCCTTCTTTTACTTTCCTGCTTTCTTTTCACGAGGCACCACCTGCTTGTTGGTTCATGAACTCCTTTTACCACAGAAATGAAGATACAAAGAACATAAAATATTTTTCTTGCTGTTGCTTAGCAAATCTTTCTGGCTTTCTCAAGACACATGTAATTTCTTCCCCACAAATGATGTTCTCAGTACCACAGTCAATGAGAACATTACACTACTTTCTGTCACAAACGACAGCAGAAAGTTGAGCGGGGATTTTCACTAATCATCTACAGCAACACCGAGTTCAGCTTCCCAAATTGCCAAGAGTAATTTATGTTTTAAAGGATTTTTATCTATTATCGAACAGCGTGCACTGATCTGTGTGAGCAGAATGATAGGCACTGTGGCATGCTCGCTCACATGTGAAGTTTATTTGGCAGTCACAGAGTTTATTGGTCCATAATTCTGTTATCCATGCTTCCACAGAAACGATTAAGATCAGACCAGGCGGCATCCTGACTAGTGATCGTGACTTACGGTTTTCTCCTACGATGCCTAACTCCTTAATCTCTGTACCCACTGATCTCCCTCCTCAACAACGGAGATGTCCACCTGCTGAAAACATGGAAGACTAAGCAAAGCTGTCCTTTGTGTTCCCTGCAATGCCCTAAGGGCTGGAGCCTCGGGAGCATCGTTTAAGACACACCCAGAACTTTGTTTCAAAGACCCGCTTAACCGAGGCTGCCGGAGCCACCCACTGCCACGGTCTTGGCTTTCAGGATCTCCAGCTCTGCCCAGCACCAGCCCCGCCAGCTTCTCCTCTTCTAACGCCGGGAGCAGGACGAGGCCCCGCTCGTCACCGCTGGGGATCCGTTACGGTACCGCCGGGCACCGGGAGCCCTCCCGAAACGGCACCGCTCCCCCCTCACCTCCCC